CCCAAGAAACACCAAAACCCTTGCTATATAAAATATGAAATATACTCTATTACTTAGAAGATTATATACCTCTTTTGACAATTAAATGTTCTTATTTTTATGTAATGGCAAAAATATTAAGTATATAGTTTATGAAGAATTATAGTTGGGCATATCATATTTGATCTTGGCTTATATATATTTGTGGTTAAGTGGTTGGACTATAACAGAGCACTCACTTGCAATAACTAATGTAATTACTTTTAATAATAGTTGGTAACATGGTAACATGCATCCATTAAAACCCTGCAAATTCTATCACTCATGTAAATTTAGTTGGATTTTCTTTCCTATGTTTTTTAGCTATTTAATCGTGTTAGCGAGTATACTATCTATGGTATCGATTAATTGTGGCGAGTGACATTTTTTGTTTTCTCAACTAAGTAGAGATGATTTTTCATGTTTCTTCATATAAATGCCTATAGTTTCTCATGTGTTCAGTTTTAAGGGGAAAAAAAAGACAATTAATTAAGGATAATGCTTAGAGCAAATTATCCACAAACAAGTCGATAATCTTTTGTCTTAGTTTGGAAGATGATGAGTCATATATATATAAAGGGTGAGAATATTTATATATTGCAGGAGCAAGGCTAAAAAGAAAGAGCCGAAGCGAATTCGACAGCAACGTTATGCATTCGTGACGAAAAGCGACGTGGATAATCTTGAGGATGGCTATAGATGGCGAAAATATGGACAAAAGGCGGTTAAAAATAGTCCTTTCCCAAGGTATATATATATATATATATATATATATATATATATGTGTGTGTGTGTGTGTGTGTGTGTGTGTGTGTATGCATGTGCATTTACCTTTACACTACTCGAGCTTTTAATTTAGTGACAAATCAACATATTAATCACAATCTATTTATTAACAATTTGCCAAGAACACTTTTAACCATGGAAAACAATGAACATTATGTTAAAGCACTGTTTTATCTGATATATATGTTTTTTACAAATTGGAAAAGTGATCAAACCACACAAAACCTAGAGAAATTCAGAAGTGATCAGAACATAAATCATTTTCAGACAGGTTTCCATGTATATGACTACGAAACTATTGCTCAAAACGCGCAAGTTAATCTTTTTATGTTTATGTCCTTTTTCATTTCTTTAACTTATCTTCGTCGTAAGCCTTATATATATTCTCTCATGCAGGAGTTACTACCGGTGCACAAACAGTAAATGCACGGTGAAAAAGAGAGTCGAGAGATCCTCCGAAGATCCCACATTGGTTATCACCACATACGAAGGTCAACACAGCCACCACTTAACCGGGCTTCTCAGAGGCCGCTCGTTCCTCCCTCAAGAAAGGCACAATCCGCAGCTGTATTTTCCGAATCGTCAAGAAAACCCATCGTTTTCCATTACTAATTCCCAACCGACTAACGAGTTTCAAGGCCAATACGGAGAAACCCACTTAGAGCAACACGAAGCAAGTGGGAATTCACGGTCTCTAACGGACGATGGGCTTCTCGGCGATATAGTGCCAGCCGGGATGCGAAACGGATAGTATCGAATTCGGAGGTACTTGATTTTTGTGCATTAATTACAAATGATTTGAATTTTTTACTAGTTAGGATTGGATTTTGTTCATATCAAGTTTTTTGATGAGATGTTCATTACAAAAGCTAGGATTGGGCTTAGTGTGGTGATAATTTGGTAAACCCTGGGTGATGTACTTTTTTCATAAATACAAGGAAATTTGCATACAAAGGCACCACAAGGATTTTACAATTTAATCATTACGTTTTGCTATTTGCACAAATCCCCCTATAATTTTATATGTTTTGTAGATCGAAGCATAAATTTAACTTCCGTTACATTGGAGCTGACTTGACACAGACAGAAAGTGTACGTGGCTAACTTGCCACCGAAGAAAGTCTAAAGAAAGTTATATTTATGATTCGATCTGCAAAACATATGGAAGTGTGCATCTTTAAGATTTTTGTAATTTAATCTAACATATGGTACATTCATATGCAATTTTGCCTAAATATAAATGTATGTTTGTATAAATGTGTGTATGTTATCAGACCATAAATAACAATCTAAACCAAACTATGATATCTTTCATAGACAATAATTTATATTTTGTAAATGGTTGAAAAGTGAAAAAGCGGAAACCCTTGTTTGATGAACTTTGTACACCGACAAAAGTAAGCTCAAAATATTTATTGGGACATTCTACGGTCCCGTTACGGAATCATTCTGTCAGGGTTTGTAACCGTTAGATCAATTATCCACAACGATTACATGATGATCTAACGATTTAATCCCGACGGAATGGCTCCGTAAGTAACGGGACTATAGAATTTCCTATATTTATTAAGCATATATGTATGTTTTGTATGTAATATGCAGTATGTTTTTAAAGTTTCAGGCATGATTTATTAAATATATTATACATTAATACATATATATTTGTCACATTAAAACTTACTTTTAGTACACGCTTTTTATCTTGCGCAGGTTACGAAATTTTGGGCTGCCGTGGATGGAATTTTCATCTTCCCTAAATACCCACGCGCGAAGACGCGCGTTGTCCTTGTACAAGGTGTCTTGTAGTACTACTTATTTTTTTTATTTTTTATTTTAATTTTTTTTTGTCTTGTAGTTCTACTCTTCTTGAACCAGTTAACTGTCAAATATTTTTAACTTATTTCTTGTATATTTTGAGTGCCAATGTACGCAATGAAAGGTTGCAACTTTCTGTTTTGAGTAAATATGTGATTTTAATTAACTTTTTTTTTTTCTACATCGTCTCTTCGATTAATCACACTAATACAAAGTTAGAATTTGAATTTGTGATAATCGAGCTATGTTTTAGTCTTTAACACGCCGAGTCAAAATCGACTCGTTAACAGAACAGAGCTTAAAAGCTTGCCGTATTTATTAATATTAATGAGTAAGAAGTCGAGAGTGCAAAATTGTATGGATACAATCCTCGTTATGTATCTTGATTAATTGGATCGTTTTGGATCTGAACCCGTGGCATTGGAGTTGAGTTCCGTTCTCTTCTCTCGCTCTCGGTACAATATAATCGGGTGAGACATTCTCTCGCCCATTGCTGAAAGTAAAACGAAGTTCATTAAAATTGAAACGGTTCCATCTTCGATTCATTTTGAAAAAAGAATCCCAGATCTGACTCCATAGGAACGGAACAACTATCCGGTTTTAACTAGTTGAGCAAAGTAAAAAGCTTAGTAAACTATATAAGAACTCGTATCTTTTAATCATAACGCGTGATCTCAAGCTTTAACTGAACTACAACTTGCCTCCAAAACTCAAAGTTTGATGAGTCGAGCTCACGAACAACTCATTCCATTTAACTATTTCATATGTATATAACACTTTATGTTTTGTTATAATATTGTTAGATCTTATTCATTGCATTTCTCATATTTGTTGTTTCTATATAAATTTTTTTACTAGAGTTTGACTCAGAATTGAGCCCACCACCTGTCCACAAACAGA